TTAGAGCACAGTGTACCGAGTGGATGGTTAAACTAAGATTATGTAAGTTCTTACGACCTTCGTAGTCCTCATTTAGGGGACCGAATTACTGAATTCACTTTAAGAATTTTATCAGGTTGAAATTTTGTTATAATGATGATTTCTTTTTTCCCTTATTACTCCATTGGGAAAGCAATGGGAGAGTACAATGCGATCAAAGCTCTGCCGTTGAAACTGATAGAGAAAAATGAAGCAAAATGCTGTGGTTGCTTAGAAACATATACAAGTTTTGTTCCAATACTCAGTGTCCTTTGTCACTGAATGATTAATGAACATGCAGTGTTTGTTTACTGCAGGAAATTAAGGCAGTAAATAAAAGCACTATCACTTTTATTTATCAGAGAAGACTCTACAAGGACAAAGAGCAAGAAATCTAAGATGGGAACAGAGAACAAACAATCACTTCACAAATTGTTTGATGTTTTAGCACTACCAAATACGTGGTTTTAAATGACTTGTTACATGCATAAGAATGATTTGATATGAAAAAGGGACCGAGTACGCTCTGGTGTAAAAGTGAAAAAAATCTCCCAATAACTTTTGGGAAGAGGGAAAAAGGAAATGATACCGGGGAAAAGAGTTCTGCAGAACTCCGGTTCTGCACAGAGACTTTCAGGAGCCAGTCATAGGGAAAACATCTCTGGACAAGACTAAGAAAAAATAGTATTGACAGGATTCATCTAATAAAACAATAATAATAATCTAAATAATGGAAACTTTTAAGAGAAAACTGGAGGTAAGATTTTTTTTTTTTTTCTTTGACAAATCTCAGATGGTTTGAAAAAATCAAGATGTATTACAAGATATCCTACCTACTTCTGGCTGCTACAGGTCCCATGCCAAATTTCATGACAACTAAGGTATCAGCAGTATCTAATTTCAAAACCAGCTAATATAATTTGGCCTGCCTGTATCCCATTTGTAAACAAATCATCACTTGTATTCATCCCGATGTAAACTACATTAATCATTACGAACATGCTTAAAACCATAAAGAAGAAATCGCAGTAGGATTACAAATTTGAGACAGAGAGAGGGCAGCTTAGCCATACAGACTAAAAAATAGTGGTTGAGACCAACAACTAACTATTTCCCTGTATTTTTTGCCTTAACAACCAAAACATTGCATGTTCTTCTCTAGCCAGTGTTTACCACAGTAGTTCTTCCAAAACATAAATCACGTTTTGTTTATCAGAGAGACAATCGGAAGATCTTTGCAAAGCTCTGAGAAAGCGTTGCTGAAATATTAGGGTTCTAAGCAACAGCTTGGTTTTAAGCATATTTATTGAGGTCCTGGTCTTTTATCTCAGCCTCACCCTTCATTTATTTTTCTTAAACAAATGGCACATGAGAACCTGTCATCCAGCCTATACTTCCCTCATTGGGAGTTTAGCAGCTGTAAAAACTTCTGATAAAAACACACACAAACACACACAACCAAATAATGATAAAATTATGAGAAAAACTCTAATGTATTCCCAAGTCTGGAATTTTCTCAAAGCGATAGTGTTCACAGGTAGAAATCTCAGCTTTGTACTATTGAAGTAATATGAACCTTTAGGAAAATAAATTGCTTCTAGTTCTTTCAGGATTTAAGGTGGTATCTCTGAAGTCATCATGTGAGGGTTAATTGTGGAAAGAGACATTTTTTAGTTCATTTCTCAAAACTAATTTGAATTCTTCCTTGTCTCTAAAAAAATACCTATCTGTTAACATAAGATATAAAAAATAATAATAAAATGTGGGAAGTGGTTACCAGCTCAGTCTCATCATCTGCGCTGTTATTATGTCCCATGCAGTCCACATTCAGATGGACAGTGTGTGTAAGAGAGAAAAAAAAATTTCAACTTAAACAACCAGGAAAATTACTTCACTCATCACTGTGAGCAACCCACAGGACAGTAAGTGGTCAAGGTAGGTCCTTGGACTTGTAAAATAGTTGGAACAGTTGTGAAAAATATATTTTAATGCTTTGGTTCTCTTTGAAAATTTTGCTGCCTTTCTTTAATGAATCCTTGGGTTTACCAAAAAACTTCCCCATTTTCATAAGTGAAGTTTGTGTGGTATTTGAAGTGAAATCAGGGGATTGTGACAAACTGGCATGTTTTATTCTCCCGTGACAGGCTCCAAATGAGCCGTTGTCGAAAGTTCAAGTGTGGAATCCTGGGAGGGAGGACAGATTTCCCATAAAACTTCACAGGTCAGCGGGGAGATGGTAGCATAGAAATGGAGAAAATTCTCTGAGAAAGTAACTGTTTAACGTCCCTCTGGCAAGAAAATCCAGTACTTTGAATGCAGCCACAATTTGAAAATAAGTATTTCTCTAAAACATTATGTATATTGTGTATTACCTGAGCTATATGCGTAGATCTACTCTTTCACCTTTAGGACTGACCGGACTGTTGGAGTTCGTCCGGCGGGCCAGAGGCCATGCTGCTGCACTTCAGAAGAGCTCCTGGCTGGCTGTTGCTTTGCAGCTATCTCCACAAGAACTAACTCCTGGAATTCTCCTTGAATCACACCAATTGATTGGTTTTATATGAACAAAAAGCAATCTGAACAATTTTTATTTCCAATTCAACGTGGGAATGAATAAAAAAAAGATACACCTTAAAAGTCCCACCTATTGTGAAGAAAACATGTCTTCCTGTACCTGTAAGTTTTTAATTACACTGGAGATTCTGTTTCTAGTTGGGATAAATACCAGACTTTTCATGGCTTCCTTGCTTGTAGGTGTGGCTCTCCTAACAATCTTTTTTGTAACTTGGCTCCCAAAGCCATTCCCGTCAACAAACACTGCAAGCACAGCACAAAAAAATATCACAGACACCTTTTTGTGTATTAGTGTCAAACCTAGATTGATTTTTTTTTTTTGAATGCAAACAGAATGCAACTACGGCTACTCTGTAATATACCCATTTTTCAGTCGGAAAATTAATTTCTAGCTTCAAAATGTTTGAAAGCAAGATGAGACTGATAAAACTCTTGCCTGCTTAATTTTCCAATAAGGAACATTATCTAGCAGGGCACAATGAATTTGAATACCCCTATGGTATGCTTTCTCTAATTTTACTAATTTTTCCTCCACACAGGATGTTTTGTCAAATACAGATTTAACAGACCTTAAAGATTTAAAGTTTATAGGAAATGTCCCATACAATATAGAATTGGTCTTAAAATATGCTTATTGAGAGATTAAAGGATATAAAACTTAAACCGTTCACTCAAATTTAGATAGATAGCCTAATTTCTTTTTCTTTGCATTATAATGCTACTTAGATGAAGGCAGGGAACATGGTTAGATTTTAACTTAACTTGAATCCTGAAAAATAGTTTGACTGCCCAAGACTTCTAACTCCAGCTAGAGTCTTCTGCTTTCTCAGACCAATTTTTCATACCCAGCAGCATACCGTGCTGACTAAATGGCTAAAAATACTAGTTGCTAGGAGCACAAAAAGACACCAATCACACCCTAATCAAAATACTTGATTTTATGGAAAAGTAGGAAAAGTAGGTCTTTTAGGTATCTTTTGTTGCATTACTTGATACAGAAATTAAATTCTCTCTTGATTTGTGAAATGCTTTAACAACTTTTTTTTTTTGCTCCCTGCTTTAATGTATTCATTTCTCTAAAAAAAAGTTGCTTGAATCTCTTTCCACAATTATTCAGCCTAAATGAATTCAGCCTCTACCTAAAGTAACCCATATTCCATCAAACTTCCCATAACTTTCCCAGATGGTTACCAACCTCTAGTCATAATCTAAATGGAGTTCACTCTGACTTTAGAATTTTACACCTTATTCTTTCTTCTCCTCTTTCAATTTTTCTTAGTAAGAAATGAAGTTTCCTTCATCTTTAGACATTAAGAAAGGTGCACAACAGCAAATTATGGACTCTTCTTCTGGATACACAATTTCTCCTTGTCTCTGCCCCCCTCTAGAGGACGTGGCAGAGGGAAACTCACTTAGAATTGATAATCAATAAAACTAGAAACATATTTGTAATAAATGGATAATATGTACAGATTTTTACAATTTGTTGGATACTGAATTATCTGAGATTTGTTTTCCAAACTTTTCTTCACATTGCTATGCTTGCTACCAGCAAGCTACCCAGTTACCTCCGCAGGAGTTGGTTACGTTTGGCGGAAGGCAATGTGTTCAGTAGTTCAATCAAGAGCCGTTGTGACAGGCTTTTTCCTGCTGTCTTCTATATTTCGCCTGCAAATTAGTCAAGGTAGCACCATACTTTTTAGACTACAGAGCAGCCAAAACATTCTCTCAACAAATTTTGTCTCTCTCATTCTTTCTGTTTTTTCCTGGTTTATTTGTATCATTATAATTGCAGCCATAATACATGCATTTGGGATTTCTGTTAACAGCTCCCACCAGGCTGTTTGAATGAGAGTTTTGCCTCAGTAAAAGCAACAGATTTAGGTTTCTGTCAGACGTGTCATAAGAAAAACACAGCTTGCGGCTTTCCTAGACTGGCAGTGGACGAGATTACATACTTTCAACTATTATGCTGTCACCTCTTACATCTCCCCAAAGGTTTTGTTTTATCAAATGAAGCATCTGTGACAGCTGTGCCTGATTATTAGTGGAAACATCACGTAAACAAGGTTCTGCCTCTCGCTATAATGCAGCAACTTCTCAACCAGGAACAAGCCAGTTCTTGAAATGGTTAAACAGCAGATCACATCTTTTCCACTCCTGCTCTTCCTGCAACAACCCTACAAGTTCTACTGAGTAGCCTTTAAAAGAAACCCAGAGAGCATACCTGCAGAGATTGACAGCGAAGAGCATTTGCTCCTCAGCACTTTAATGCAGAACATAGCTGGCTTATAAAATATACGTACCAGTTTGACTAGGAAAAGTAAGTCACATGGATGATCGCCTAAGGCATTAATGTTTTCATACAATCTAGATTAGACCCTGATTTTTAGGTGAGCTAAGCTTACATCTTGAGAATCGCACTCCTGGATGCTCTGATTTTCTTCCTTTCTTGAGGCCACATGAAGGTTCTCCTTCTCTGCTGAGGCATTTTGCTGGACATAGGAAAGAAAAGAAAAGAAGAGAAGAAAAGGTTACTATAGATAAAATTTCAGATATCTAAGTCACATTTGAAAAATCAAGGTAAGGACAAAAAAAATCAATGGGTCAGATATTGCAAACTGTTAACTACTTTATAGGCTGCATTTTCAGCAAATTTTATGAAGGGAATGTTTTAATACACATTCTCATTAAAGCACTCCCTTGTAAAGGATTACTTCCATAGGAGTAATCAAGACTTTGTACCTGAAAACTGACCACGCCAAAATGACTTGGTGGGATATTGCTTTGTATGTTACTAAGCAAGATCATAATGAAGTACAAGTTAAATTACATCTTATTTTGTGTAAACATTTGGAGGGGGTATGGGTAAAGGAGGGGAAAAAAAAGCGCAGCATTTTCAGAACTCTTATTCCTCTGACTCTTGGGGATTCTGGGAAAGATTTAGGCCCTGAGTTGAAGCCATTTATGAACTGCTTTAGCTTACTTCAGCTGTCTACAGTCTCTCCCTGCTGGGACCTCACGTCATTGTGAGCTGGCAAAATGTGTTCCGTTTTATGCCTTTCACTTACCTCCTTACACTCAAAATGGACTGCTATACGGGGCAGTTACTCTACAAACCAGGCTACCACTTTATATAAGCGGTGAATTTCCTTCCACTGAAATATTGGCCATTTTAGGCATGTTTTTCCATATTTCCTGCAACTTTTAATATTCAAAGGGACATGAACAGGAAGAATATGCACTGCTTTTTTTATATGGAGCTTGCGCTATATTTATATAAGTCAGTATTTTTTAATTTACCTTGACAGCTTCATAATTTTGCGGTCTTAAATACTAGACCATGGCATAGCACCACAAGGAATTATTTCAAAAATCAGTGAAATCTGGAAAATGTATTGCTAAATTAACTTGATATCCTGATACATGTATCATTGCTTGTACATCACAACTGCGTACTCTGCTGAGACATAAAGTAACTAAAACAGCTGGATGCACCATAATTTGCTGATAGTCATGAGATGGTCTTTACGATCACCACCTTGTTCTTCTTAGTTCTGCAGAATTATTTGTTTAAAAAGCGTTCACCTTCAAGTGTCTAATTCAAAGTCCACTGAAATTCATGGAAGGAATGTAAGTTACATAAGATTTGTAACTGTTTCCAAAATATACCTTTGCTAAAATAACCCCCAAAATAACAAAAACCACCACCCCAAACCCAAATCAAAACGTAATGACTTACTCCTACTCTTATACAATATGTTCCCAGAAAATAATCAAATTTTAAAAATAGCATTTATGAGCCTCTTTTTTCATTATAAGTTTCAGATCATGAAGAGCTTGTAACTATGCTTAGGGATTTGGCTTCCACCAAATCATCTGCAAGTTATGTTGAAACTCTTCAGGGAAATGGGGACAGGGAACAAATCAAACTAATTTGTCTGCAAAGAAAAGTTAGAACTTCAGACACCAGTTCTGAAAGCTTGAACCATCCTTTCCTCATGTCTCTTACACTGCGTTGAATTGCTAATACCAAGTTTTCAAAACTGATGGAGAACAGGAGAAAACAAACCCAGCTGGTTACTATTTGCAATATAGTCTCTGTTTAACAGCTCTCCAGTGAGGAATTGTTAGTTTTGTAGAGCAATTGACTACTAGAAAAAGCAATGAGGAGGTGAACAGATTAAAAAAAAAAGATCAATATAAATAATTGTTTTGTTAAATAACGAATGTCATTTCATACCTGTATTGAGTGATTAGCCTGTTTGGACTGAAAGAATTATTGCAGTTCTGCAAACTTAAATTTCTTCCCATTAAATAAGAGTCATATGTACAGTGAATAATAGTACACACATTCACCTGATTTCTTGACTACCTGAACCAGTAAATCCACGTGGGATGCCAGGAAAACCAGCCAGCTTGAAGCCTTATTAACTCAGGAGAATAAATGCCTGTGCACAGTGCCTCTCATTTCAGAATTTGATTCCTGCTCAAGACTGTACCTTAGCAATTTATATACGTAGCAGATATACCCAATTTCTCAGTATGTTGTACTCATTTCTACAGAACAAGGGCAAGTTTGGGATATTTCGGTGAGGCTGTCATCAAGAAAGCACGTACCCAGTGTCAAGTTTTCAAACATCTACAGCGTTTCCTACCTCTAGGAAAGGGGAAACCAGGAAAATTTCCAATTCTCACCCTCTTCAATATTCAAAATAGTCAAGTGCAATATTATGTCTTAGAAGTCTTCCGCTTTTTTCTCTCCCAAAACTAATGATTTTTTGAGGTGTTTCAATTTTCAGATGATTACCTCTAACCAGTAGGATCGGATTCTGTAACAGCCTTTAAAAATCACTTGCCACAGCTGCACTGCTCAGACACCAGCTAAGCTAGGGAGCAGCAACAGGTCTGCTTCGTTCCCTGGCTGGTTACTAATGGATAAACACTGCATCCCTTCGGTTATTGCACAACCATCATCTCCAATTATTTTTCATATTGTTACCCTGAGCTGACGTTGATCTGCACGTCTTGAGTTCTAGTTTAAAACATCACCACATTTCTCGCAGCAGAACAGAGGGCAACGTGTCTTGCCAGGCCCTGGCTGGGTCGTCTAAATTTGAGTTCTGTCCTTATGGCCAGAACACCACAGGGCTTTCTTGCATCTTATGTAGGTACTTCTAATCTGTAACATTTTGAGACAAAGACTGACTTCTTACATTGAAAAAAAAAAATAAATAAAAAATAAAAATTAACATTTTTGAAGGCTTATCTGTTTGCTGATGATGTGGGAGTCTTTGAGGTAGACTTTGCAAACAAGATCCTTTGTTATTAAAAATAATCTCTCCTAATAAAAAATGAATATGCTATTATTTGTCTGAATGAAGCCTATTTACTAGACTGACAGCTTACCTAATAAAAATGCCATCAAGTGTTCCACGGTGAAATGGTTTGGAAACAGTTTCTGAACTCCTTCCTAATTTGCTTAGAGCTTTCTGAACCCTCCTCAAAGATTTTCAATACAGGATTTCGCATGCGAACATTTTTTCAAGGATCCCCAACCCTTTTATCTTTTTTTCTTCAAAATAATTTAGAAATTACAGCATCTTCCTGGTGAGACCTTACAAACTTGACAAAAGACCAAGCTTTACATTTCAGATACTTGAAATACGCAAAATTGTTTACAGTGCATTTAATGTATATGCTTGCAGATGAAACTAGACTCCACTGGTGTGCGCTTTGCTTGCAGCAAAACTTGCAGAATACTTATGACAGGGAGGCAAGCCAAACTCGTTATTTCTTTGAGTTGTCTTCCAAAGTCTGCGCTGGAATAAATGACAGAGCCCAATTCTGTTTCATGCCTTTGAAATTTCCTTCAGTTATGCTTTATATATTTTTCATTTCTATTATCAAACAAATTTGCTTCTCAAAGCGTGCATTGTTATTATAATGCCCTCACCTTAACTGCTAAATAAACCTGCAAAGTTAGGTCAACTGAATTCCATCTTTCAAAAGGTTTTTGACTTTGTTGTGTAGTTCAATTCATTCCTATGTTAGAAATAGTCTTATCAGATCTTTCTTCTTCCCACATGGCTTTTTTGGCGTGACTGCACAACTCTTACTCTCTAGTCAGCATTTGTTCATGTGAGATGCCAGAGCGCTGTTGACAGGACTGCTTGCCAGATGACCTGCCAACACAAATGTGGGTTCCATCAACACATTTATTTCCTGTTACTTAGACTGTCACAGATTCTACTCTTTTCTACACTAAGGGTTTCTAGTGATATTCAATTTCCATGTTAAAAAAAAATAAAAATTAAGGATACTCATACTGATCTAACAGGAAGATTGCACAGCATTTTGAATGTAAGCAAACAAACTAAGCAGTTTCTGGCAGAGTGCAAGTTCATGATACCCAAGGACCAAAAAAACCCCCACCAAAGCAGTTCAGAGAGCCATGATGATTTTTCCCTAATGATGGGCAATGTCCTGATATGCATATTCATAGCCTGTTTTGATAAACTTTCAATGCAGAAATCATTGGAGTCTGCCCAGAAACACATTTTTTTGCTACCGAAAGCTTCACTTTTTACAAACACTCAGAAACTACCTACAGCAAAGACTCGCTAGCGTGTCTCGGGCATGCCCACTGCGCCTGGCTGCGCTTCGTGACATCCGTCTGGCCAACCTCAGAGACCCTCCCGGGCTGGGGGTCGCTTCTATTCGCCCACCTCCACTGAGGTTACTCAGGAGATGGTCCGCAAAGGGGCTACAAATAGGAAACGACCAAGGCCTGAGTCATCGCCGCTTCTCAGTGCACTCGGTTTATGTTCTTCTGGGAGATGTCTTACTCCTCTGGGATGGAAAAGGCTTATTGTCATGTCTAGGCAATCCAAAATTGCTCGAGGATTTGTAGCACCTACTGTGAAAAAACTAGAGCAGTTTTGTACGTAGCAGGTGGATGAAGTTGTCAGAGCTTTTCTGGGCAAGGTGCACAGCGCAAGAGCCAGAAATATCTCCTTTCCAAAGTCAGTTCTGTCTGACTGCTCCTGGAAACCAGGGACTTTGTATATCGCATGTGCACACAGGCCAATTGCCATGTAATGCCTCGCATATTTATTTCAGTCAAGAAAAAGGTGGCAATCCTATCACCTTTTCCTTCCCCCCTCTTTTTTGAGTAGCACCATTTGCAATTACAGAAGTCCACAGCAGCGTTTTGGATTGTATGATAGACTTCTGACTCACCCTCCTAGCCCTACAAATTTCAGATATTTTAAAGTAATTGAGTATCTACTATGTCTTTCCACAACAGGAATCACAGATAATTATGTATTAATATCTACGTATAGTATAAAGGAAATCATTGTGTCACATTTCTTTTTATCCTGACTTTAAAATCTTCCACAGTTTAAGTCCTATGCAGAAATAAATGAGGAGTCCTATTCTAGTAACAGTAATCACCCTAAATATACCTATGACAGTGATGGTCATCATATAT